CAAACCTGAAAAGGGGTGAAGCATGAGTAAAAATACAAAGTCCAAAGCTTTGAAGTGCAAGCCTTTAATTAAGCTGGAATGGGGCTTCGCTTCCAACTCCACTTATGTTTTTGATATTGTTTACTTGTCCGTTCTCAAACCATGCGGCGCAGCCTAAAGGGACCATGTCACTCATGATCTCTTCCGCTCCTTTGTTGAGGCCCTTCATGATGCAGGGGATCCTTCTTCCCTAACGACATCTCTTCGCCAATTCAGAGGGTGAAAATGCCTTTTCCGAGGCACCACGTGCTCGTGCTTCTCCTCCCCTGCCTTGCAGACATGCTTTCCACCAGGCGTAGGGACAATATCCAAGGATGTCAACATCAACTCCGCCTCCTTGACGACCTTCTTACCTGAGTCCGGGATGCGCCATGTGTGCTTCACACGCTATGAGTGCTCCAGCGTCTGAGCTCCTTCCTTGATGGACTTCGCCCACTATCAGGGCAGGATGCCCGGTCTCAAACTTACACACCAACAGACCTGTCACTCCGAGCGCGCACGATCCATCTTGCCCTCGACGATGCTTCAAGAACAAAAACGGGACCTGGCATGGTACGATCGCCACATTCACCTTGAACCTTTTCCCGGCGACTGCGAACTGGACGACGACCGCAAGCTGCGACACGTGTATGGGGGGTGCCCCAAACTTGATTGATCCTTCTCCTCCACGATCTCCACCGGGATCCCCTCGTCATCGGTGATCTTGCAGTACTGCTCGAACCACTGGTAGCCCGCCATGCTCTTGGTCCGCGACCAACTTCTCCTCCTTATGGCACGGCTCTCCGTTCGCGCCCGTCATGAAGCACATGACTTCTCCTTGTTGCCGGGCCTCCCCAGCGGGCGCTTGGGATTGCGATGCCAGCAACCCCGGCGTTTGCACGCCGAGCAGGAGCTTCTCTCCTTGGCCAGCCGCAGCCGCTCTTCCCTTCTCTTCTTGATGGCCTCCATGTCGGCTCCACATCCGACCTGTGCTTCGACTTGGCGTCCCGGTAGGCCGTAGGCTTCGTAGCGTACACACTCCCACAAATAGACATGGAACCTGAAAACCACCTGTTTGTGGAGGAAACGGCCAGCCAGTCTGGGATTTCAGCAGCTTGTGCTTTGTCTTCAAAAAGTGAAGTGCGAGCTCCTGACCATGGTGAAGGCGTGGCTCTACCTTGGAGTCGGAACAACATGGTGCACGACACGGACGAGGTTGAGAGTGGCGACACGAAGAGCGATCGAGCCGGAGTCCGACAATGACGTGTGGCAAACCACCCACCGGTTCCTCCGGCCTTGCACAGTTTCCAGTATTGGGCTCAATCCTGAGCCGAACAAAGAAAAGCAAGAAGGTGGGTGTGACGCAAAATGAGTCGGGGCCAGATGGAACAACGTCCTAAAAGATCTGGCCACTTGGAACTCTTTTTTCTGATTGGCTTGAAGCCTTTTGGGGGACGGAGTTCCTATGGGGCCGCCCTCGTCCATCGGGATTACCGAAACCCTTCTCGCGACACATGCATAATGTAGAATCTGGCTCTGAGCTCCAGTCTGCTCCACACGCTGAACTTCTCGCGCTGAATTTGTCGCGATCAGCATCCAACTCAGCATCTCCGGCTCCGAAGCTGGGGGGAGGCTGAGGAGCTGGCGCTGCTCTCCGGTGTTGGCAACCAGTTCGACGCGCAGACACAGCCCCCTCATTCAATCGAGCGGTTCGGCGACCTGGCGGAGGCCGTCGTCGAGGTGGCGGCGGTGGTCGAGGCGTCCTCGGCTGGCGCCGCGACCCCAGCTCGCCTGTCCTCAGCATCTTCTCTTGCATCTGCGCCTCTGGGGGCCCACGCTCTTGCCATAGAGCTCCTTTACCTCCTTGCTGTCGAGCCCTGAGCCGTCTGCTCCTCGCTACCAATGCTGACTTGTCCGTTCTCAAACCATGCGGCGCAGCCTAAAGGGATCCCTTTTCCTGACAGTTGGATTGAACTGTTGGGCCTGAATGCCCTGGCGTGCAGGTCACAAACCATGCGCATGTGCACTGTTGCACACTTTCAGATATAGGTTTTACATAGTACGTCCCTTCCAACTAGGATTCTGAAAGGATTCAATTGGAAATCTTATTTTGATTCATGTTCCTTCCACACGTGATTTCAATTATAGTTGTAGCACATTTATTATGCCGAATCCCACTTAAAACCTGTATTCCTTCGAATTAAACTCAGGGAATGTCTTTTCAAGTAAGAGTTTGATTAGCGCTTGATTCTAATCTAGCTATTCACAGTTTAGCTAGAATCGAGTAAGGAATGACACCCTGGTTGTTTCTTCCAAGTCATTAAACTATAACGAATTCCTTTCCAAGTATGCAGGAATTTAATCAGATGTCAATTGTAGTTTAAACAGAATCTGGCTAGGAAAGAGAAGCATGATACGTCTTGTAGTTGCGTTACAGAGAATGTTCAAACTTAGTTTGATGTTTAGTAGGAGTTAAATACAATTCTCAATTGAATTTGATTTTGAACTCCAAGTGGGGCTTTAAGTCGAATTCTCGTATAATATGACCTGATCTTAAGAGGAAAACAAGCTACTTGATTCTTCTCAATCTCCTGCCCCTGAAACGGATACACCACAAAAGACCAAGCGCAATTCGATAAACCCCAGGGGACAAGGAAGGAACACGAGGGCAGGACAACTAACGGACACCTCAGGAAAACACAAACACAAAAATGTGTTCAGAACTTTTTCAGCATGAGCCTGAGCTGTGTTCAAAGAGTGTCCGAACCATGCGGGGTTTCTCAAGGTATTTTTGCTGCTTCTTGTTTTTGTTGAGTTAATTGTGATTCTTTTGGCTTTCTTGAGCTTAACTTGTGTTACGCTCAAACAGAGGGAATTTCAGAACAGGGGCCCCTGGTCGCATTGTTCTGCGTATTTTGAGGCTTGCAGTTTTCCCGTGGGTCAAGCTGGTCCATTGCCAAACTTCGGTCTGAGCAGGGGAACCATTTGACAAGCCCAATCGAAACCGAAGCAGATTAGAGAAAACGAAAGGAACTTCGAGAAATCCCCAAAGAAACAATCAGGTCAAGAGACATATGTAGATTGAACCTGCCATCGGAGACCCGCGACTTCAGACATGGCTGTGCGGTTGCGTGAAAATTTCACAAACAATTCAGTCACCTCTCTTTGTGTTGAATTGTTTGGTTCATTTGCACCATGTCCCCGGTGTCGGACGCATATCCCAATAGCGGTGAGGCCAAGGGGGTTGCGGGTGATGGCCGCAACTTGTGCAACATGGGAACAATGCTGTGACGGAAACAGGCAACGCGGCGAATGTTGGTCCATAAGCCCTACCAATGAGGTCCTCTTGCCAGGGCCCTGTGCATTGTTTCATCAGAATCGACTGGAACCATGGAAAAAAAGATGGCCTTACCGTTTCCTGATTTTTCTAGCATTCTCAAAGTCACTCCCAACCCAAGTGCTTACTTAGGTGTGTCTTTTTAGGGGACTCATTAAAATGGTTGTTTTGCCACCAATCAGATGGCAAACGCGCAGCCAGTTGAACGGTTTCACGGTTTGACAGCCGGATCGACCGGGGCGCGGCACGTTGCGGACTGCCTGCAGTCGCAGGCGGCCTCCAGGACTCCTCGCAATGTGAGCTCTCCAAACGCGGACGTCCCCCAAACAGATTGGCCCCGTCCTACCAGGGGTCACACCAGGTATTTCATTCAAGAGTGCCATGGCCATGCGTCTATCAGATTGCCTGGGAACGAACAGCAACTCTTAGCTGAGCGAGTTAGCGAAGCGTCAAGTAGCCTCTAAGTAGGATTCTGAACATTTGGCTAACCTCCGGGCCAAATGTTAAAAACAGGTCCTCTCCTAACCCTGCATGCTCGGGCAAGGAAATTGCACTTTGCACAAACGAAGGGATGCCTGCCCTCCCCTCCAACCAAAGCGGGGCCCTGCTGGCAATGGTTGCAGCCTTTGCTGCCTGTTCTCCGTCAGACCATGTCAGACCCTCCAGCCACAAAGCTAACGTCAGGCCACTCAACCATGCAAATGGTTGGAGTCCAAGAGGCAGTGTTGTTCAGACACACAAGTCATTCAAAACTACTGCACTCCCCCTTGGCAAAAACACATTTTGAACTTTAAGAACCCTTGCGGCTGAACAGGAAGCCTTTGACACACAGAATCTTCGGGTTTCCTTTAAACACCCTTTAACAGATCAGACTCTGTGAGTTTCTCCTGGCGAACGCACGATGCAGCGCCAGCGCAACTGCGAACCCCAGCGTCAGCGCACGCGCCACGCGGCCCACCCGCGCCATGGCAGAGTCAAGGTTCGAAGTAAGATTTGTTCCACGGTAGCTCCATGGCCTCATGGCCCTTTTGCTTAGGTGCTCAAGAGTAAACTCGGGGCTGGGTTTGAGGGCGTTTAAGCGGTTGCTCCGTGGTGGTCCCGCATTGTTCATTGGAGCCCCAAACGCAGGTTCGCGTGTTGTACGAGTCGTTGAGAGAAAGTTTGGTTTCATAATAAGAACACCAAGCTAATTTCAGAAACCAAGGTCAGCGGCAACGCTGATTTGCGGTTCTCAGGTGCCTGCCAGTCCAGTGCTGCAAACTGATCTGCGCTCAAGGTGGTTTCATCTTCAGTGACGGAATCAAGCCATGGCTCGGACCTGCAATTGGCTGCGCCACAAGCGGATCAACCCACGGTTCACGTTTTGACTTTTGACGTTTGCTCAGTTTCTTTTCCCTGAGTCAAGATCCTAAGGCAGACCAACAACCATTTTGCAGGTTTGGCTTCTGGCGCAATCTTTGCCAATCGAAAAGCCAGCAACTTCAACTTCCATACACAGGGGCTCCATTCTAAAGCATGTCGTTTCCTTACTTCCGCGCAACCACCCCAGTCCGCAGCATTAGCTTGAAGTGGAAATCGGATGCATCCACAGACCACATTAAGGCCCAGGGGGTCAGGGGTGGCTCCAGTCCGCTGAGCTGCGGGCCCCATGGAGTTCCACATGCCGCAGCGCCCGCACAACATCTTGTTGGCCTCCAGGACAAACCGGGGTTTCTCAAATTGGTGGACCCCTTTCTGGTTGTGAATGGCCAACAAGGAAACCAACATGTTTTTCGAAGAGCCAAAATGGAAACCAACATTTGCTTCTTGCAGGCTCGTGAGGCATGCCCTCAGATCGCCGAACCGATGGTTTTTGTGCGTCCGCATTTACTTGTCCCCAGTCTGTGCCTCCATTTGTCTCCAAGAGCTCGCGGATCGCCAGGCCGCACGCTCGCCAGTACTTGTCTCCCAGTCTGTGCTTTCGCTCATGCCCGCCAGCTCCTGGGCTGCACTCAGGCAAGCGTAGGCGCCCATTTGTCTCCAATGCGGAGTCTCCCAGTCTGTGCCTTCCTTTAGCTCCCGAGTGCGAGGCGGGCGCCGCTTGCCCGACAAGTTCACAGGTGGCCGCGTGCAAAAGAAAGCGCTTAATCTTCCTCATCTCGCGTCCTGTGGCTGGGCAAAGCGAATCCAGCTTTGTCCACACTAGCTTCAGCAGCCGAACGCTTTTTCCTGTGCGAGCCGCCCGCAAATGCTAGAGGAGTAAGTGAACCTTGTGTCAGACAAACAGCACGAAACATCCAAGCCACCACATGCTTTGAGCACCCGCCGGCTACGCAAAACGAAAGCTCCGGGAAAAAGCGGCGTAACTTGTCCAATTTGCTTGGAGCGCTCGCAAACCTGGCTCTGAAAAATCAGCGGCCTGGGAGTAATCTGCCTGGCTTGTGTCTTGTCTTCTTCCTTGCTTCAGGCTTCGGCCTGTCACAGCTGTCGAAATAGACTCTGTCACAGCTGTCACAGGGAGGGCACCGGGGGGTGGATTGATTTGATACCACTTAAAACCTGCCAAACCTGTCGTTTGAAACAAAAAGGTAACTGATTTCGCCCCTCCAAAACACGACGCCTTCAAGAAACAAATATGGAATCTGGCTGGAGGTCCCTGGAAGAACAGTCTCTTTTTCCTCAAAGTGACCCTCTTCTGGGTTTCATGGTGAGAGGGTGCCCATGTGGCTTTCCAGACCTGTTGGGCTGACTGGCTACAGAAACTTGGCCGGAGGCTAAGCAGTTTCTTTGACAAAATGTTGGCAGGCGTGTTGTTGCCAGCTTCCCTAACACGATGAAGAAACCTGGCAACAGCAAGTTGAAGGTCTCCCCTCTCAACGGATGAGCGCCGATTCTCCCAAGTGGAACGGGGTTTGCAAACTGGATACCCTTTGTTGCTTGGTATTTCAAGTGACGCCAAAAGGACACCAACCATCTAGGCCCGTATCTTGAGACACACCCAAACGGGTGTCTTGTGGAACCCTCGTGTTGGTTTTAAAGGGAACAGCATATACTACATAGTAGTTATGTTGTACTGAGTTGTTGTGTGTCTTGTACATTATTCTAGATTTACCAGGCGAGTTCACTGATATTATTTGCAAGACTTACAGGTTCCCAACTACAGTACCCTCCCACCCTTGGAACCTGACAGGCGATCCCTTCAACAGGAAAATGGTCCAGTGGTGGGAGGGCATCGGTTTATCAGCTTTATACATGTACCAGACAAGCTCAGTGATACTTTTTGCAAGACCTACAGGTTGTTGTAACATTTATCTACGTGGATTACAATATTTCACCAGGCTGAATAAGGTGGTTGGGGCATAAACCACCATTTGGGGTGAGGTCCTGTGAGGTCGTTTATTACTTCACCCAGTTTTATGAGTGAGAAATTCAGGGACCCCTTCCCTCATCCCGAGAACTTCCGTTCCAACGATCTGACGGTCGCCTGCAAGGACGCCAGGCCGGCGTCCTTCTCGGAGAGTCGCGCGGAGAGGCCCTGGACTGCTTCGACCAGGTGTTCCACTGAGGCGAGTTCGGGCGTCCATCTTTGGAGCAAACCACCGTGTTTGATGGCTTTGAAGGGAAACCAAAAGGAAAACCGTCGCTTTTCGGGGCCCCCTATTTAACCCTAACAGCTTCCTTCTTGTTGGCGGCTTGGAGCCTGGTGGTATGCAGGTTGGGTGGCTGCCCACTTACTATCCACAAGATGGTTCAGATCCCCAAACCACCAATCCAAACCAACAATGAAGGTCAACCTGATTCTAACCATAGAGCTAAGCCATCCCGGTCTGTGCCAGCGGGTCGGCGCTGCGGTGGAGTTGCTCAAATGCAGCAACACGCCCTCCTGGGAATTCATAGCATGATAGTCCCAAGGTACGCTCAATATCATGGAACAAATCAATCAAATGCTCTGCTAACCTTTGGCTTCTGTGACATCGCGTCTTGAAATGCAGAGCCAACCCACACATACGTTTGATTAAATGCATGTTGCGCTTGCCGGTTTCAGCACAAAGCAGGAGAGGGTTGTGAGAGTAGGCTTGTGCAATTTGTCTTGAATCGACTGTGCACTTGAGGAAATGTCCGCGTGTCGAGATCTAGCCTTGATCCGGGACAATTGTGAGGATCAGGACAACTACTCATGTGCACATGTTTGTACAAACATCACAACGGTGTAGTGGGCCAAAGGCATTTGGTGCATGTTCAATAGTCGGCTCAAGATAACATACAGACTCTAGAATCAGAGCCAACGCGGCCAACACTTGTCTTTCGGTGAAACTTGATTGGGGTTTAATGCCCGTGCCAAGGTCTGCTCTTTTTGGCCATGCATCTAAAATGCAAGAGCCAAGGCGTGCTGAAACAGTGGTGTTCAGTTAAGTCGGATTTATTTTCAGCGGTCGACCTCGGCATTTGGAAATCCAGTACAGACCGGTATCCCCAAAACATCTAGTCATCCATCAGCAGTTTCCCTGGATCGCCAAGTTGCTGAATTTTTGGTCACTGTTGCTGGTTGTTGGGGTAAAGTGCATGGAAAAACAAACACAAACAACGATCGCAACTGGCGATTGTGTGGGGAACAAAAATGTCGGCCAAGCAAGTCGTTGGTCACCTCTCTACTGACTCGACGTACACCACACGGACCGAGGGCCGCGCGCAAATGTGCTCGGTGAGCATGCCCTGCACATTCCGGAATCGAAGCTAGAAGCACACAGCACCCTCCAAGAGCCTGGAACCTGACAACACGCAGCCGCTAAAACGAGCGCTGGATTGTTTGAACGATGTCTTTCTTGGCAACCACGGTTCCATTCAAGCGGATGGATCGTAAGTCCCTTCGCTCGAATGGTAGAAGTTCACAGAAACAACAAATGATCCAACCACTTCCACTGCCTCTCGCAGCCTCCTGGAGAATCCTACTGGCTGTGGCCAGGTAAAGAAAGGACACCTTTTTCAGCTCTTCATCTGAACGGCACATCCGCCCAAAAATGAGAAACAAGTGCGTGTGTCCTTTTGGAGGTCTGAAAATGTTGGCCAGTTCATCCATTGAGCGTTCGTGAACTGACGATCGAGGCTGATTGGCCGAAAACAGCAGGCTGGGTTGACCAAATGGTGTATCCAACTCCAAGTATCCAAAAATATGGAACCCACAAAAGGTATCCGTATGGCTTCAAAGAGATTTCTATGTGCTAGGCCCCACACCCCGGCCTTGTTGGGTTCCATACCCCTTCACCTTTTATGGATGGTTTGCAACACAATCACCGGAAAAAGAAAAAAATGGCTGTCCGTTTGCATATCCAGGTTTCCTAGGCCAGAAGATTCCAGCGTCATCGCGGGAACTGGTTGAGCTTCTGATACATTCGCTGGTTGAACCAAACGTCCAACGGGACACACTTCACTCGTCGTTCCCCCGCAGGCCACCAGGGACACATTTGCGAGGTTACAATAAGGGTACCAATTTTTTTCAGGATGTGTATTTTAGTAGGCCAACCCTCCCAACCTAAAAACAAAGAAGTTTTCAGGGCACTACTCAAAAACCCCGCTTGGCTTCTGCTTCTCACTTCCCGCGTGGATGTCCTCTTCCCCTACGGATCTCCGCCTTGGGCCTCCTCTCGGGCCCAGCTCTTGGGCCCGGGCCAGCTGCCCGTCGTAGTTCTTCCGGGTGGCGTCCATGTCCTGACGGAGAGCAGTGGAAAGGGAGGATCAATCACCAGGTGCCGCTTGGGGAGACAAATTCGGGCTCCCAGGGAGCTTGCGAATGTTGAACATAGCTTTATGTTGGGCAGAAAGGACACCTTTGGGCAAATAGTAGCTTTGATCTTGGGCAGAAGGGACACCTTGATTTTGGGCAGAAGGGACACCTTTGGACCCTAACATGTCTTCACAAGTTGCGCAGAAACCCGCAGGAGAAAAACTTGGAACAGTGGGCCGCACAAATCCAGCACGTGCACCAAAGGGGGAGGGGGGGGGGGGTGGTAATGCCCCAGCGCCATCAAAGGCTCACCGACTACACACAGGCCTGCGGCTGGGCATGTGGTGCGAATCTACATAGTGGAACCTTTCAATCCTGAACCTTGGTGTCCTTTTTGAAAAAAAGATGGGCTTCCCTGGTAACTGCAATAAAACCAAACTGCGTAAACCAGGGCCGTGCATTCTTAAGCACACAACAGGACACCTATCACTGGCTTGCAAAGGGGCCAACTGGGGCTGCCCGTGCCATCTGGGTCGACCCCCGCACGGTTTGAAGTTTGGAGCCACGGCTCAATTGGGTTTGACGCCAAAAACAATCATGGGTTTATAGCGTCAATGACACACCAGAGGAAAACCAAGGACCTGAGGGGTGTTCAGGCATTTGAGGTGTCCCCTGAGACAAATTCGCATGTAGCTTCCCTCCATTGATTTGGTGGGTAAGGGGCGGTTTCCCTTGCACCCTCTGCAAGGACCAGGGGTTCAAATCCAGCTCCAAGCCACCAATTAAGGGGTACCTGACCATTCAGATTCACCAGCCAGTGGGGACAAAACGGCACCGTTGCAATTCCCCCGCCAAAACGACGGGGGAGGCGGGAGGCTGTTGGAATCCCCTTAAAACCAAACCAAAGGTTTGGTTCGCAGTTGATTCCTTTGAAGGACACCCGAGCAAGAACTGCGGAGCTGACACCACAGGTCTGGAACCGACACATTCTGACAGCAGGGACGAGACTAGCATTGATTGGATCACATTCTTCCAACACTTCGAGGGCAATTGAAGTCCTGCGGATCCTTTTTACATGCGCAGTACTTCGCGCCAGAATCCCTAAAACACCTATGATGCTTGTTTTCTTTCAAACACCAAGCTCTTAGTAGAGCACCCAGGATGGGCTTCAGGCAGCCAAAAGACCTTCTTGATTTGGACTAAAACCCGCCCCCCCGCAAACCACACGCTCCCTCGACCGACCATCGGCCGTCCTCCCGCACGTTGGCCAACTCCAGTTGCGAGGCAACAACCTGCCCCGGGCGATTGGCTCAGCAGGCTAATAATTTCCACACACACACACAAAAACCCTAGGCTTCCAAAGGCCATTAAAAGAATGGTCGAGGTCGCTAGACTGTTTTTTGCCGAAAGACAGTTTTTTGCGCCTGGCCCTGAATATCCAAAAACATGTTTTTTGTTGCCCAAGAATTGCTTAGGGCCAGGTCACTGAAAGTCACACCGCCCTCATCCTCCCAGCTGCAAATGACTGCACCCAAGCCACTCATTCCCCGGCTTGCCAAATGTATGGTCGCATCACTTTTCAAAATCGCCAGGTGTCCCGCCTACTGTAGAGGCGTGCATAGATTCTTCGCATGTTGGTACTGAAGCCCGGCTTTTTTGAAAAATGCTGCAAACTTAGTGGCTTCAGGGCATCGCTGCCGATCAGGCATGCGTTGTGGGCTCCTGGGGGTATGGTTGTCCACGCTTTTAAACGTACTTTCCACGCTTTTAAATGTACTTTCCACGCCAAAAAACGTACTTTCCACGGTTTGTCCATGGTTTGTCCACGCCTCATTTTCTTTCGAAATCGATTAAACAATCAACAAACAACACGCAATCAGACTCTGTGGAGCTGTGGACAAGAAGTGGAAAAGCACACACGGGCATGTGAGGGACAAGCCAAATTGACACAGCATGGTGGCAGCGTGTGATTACAACGGGATGAAGCGAATGCAAAACATACTTAGCTTATTTCATAAAAGGCAGCACTAAAGCTCTTCAACCTCTCACTGCACAGAAGCGCGCGGGGATGTCATGAGCCAACGGTCTCGAGTTGGCCAAGTTTGTCTAGACCTACTTTTAATGGTCGAGGGGCATTACTTTTATAGCCTTTCGTTTTTTATATGGTCGAGGCTATTTAAAGAATAGTCAAGGAAGCACAGGGAAATGGAAGCCAAGGGAGATCAAAGCCGATCAAATGCCTTCTTTCTGCGCGCCTCGGATCCATTAATGTGCGGCCACACAGCTGTGTGGCCTTACCGGGTCCCTTGCATCCGCCTGCGCCTTGGCGGCCATCTGGCAGTTGTTGAGATACGTGGCCACCATCATCGGCATGCGCGAGAGCACCTCTGCAACCATGTCCGCGGGCCTCAGCAGGGACACGCCGATCTCCGCGGCGTTGTGCCACCTCAGCAAGAGAGAGCCGAAGGTCCTGGGCATTGATGATGCGGATGCTGAGGCTTGCAGCCAGCGCAGCAAGGTCCTCGAATGACCCCAGCTTGATTGCCCGCGCCAGCTCGCCCGCGCTCATGGCCCCGCCCGTGCTGAGCGGGATGGTGACCATGAATCTCTCATCCGCACCGAACAGCGACAGGTCCGACACGATCTCACCAAACGACCCGAAGCCACGGTCCACATCGTCGTGGTCCTCCGGGTCGCCCTCATTGCGCCGCAAAAGCCGGGGCGCCCCAGTTTTCCGGCGCAGCACAGGTGCTATGACCGCGCCGTACTCCTTGAACCGCTGGGCAAACGTCAGCCGGGTGATGTCAAGCGGGACCGCTCCAGGTGTCAGGAAACCCGCGTTCGAGTTCCTCAGCTTCTCACCGACAGAGTCGCATGCCAGCTGCCCGGGCGGGGTGGCCTGCGAGGATGATGGCGGGCGTGCTCTGATCTTGGACAGCACTCCTTGGTCCGTCATTCGGAAGGAGGAAAGGGCCGGGGAAGCAGATAGAGGTCGCGAAGTCAAGATTAGTGAGACTATTTGTCTTAATGGCTTGAGCCAAAATGGCTACGGGGAGAGTAGGGCCATCCGCTTTTGGTTGGTCGAGTTTCAAGGGGAACCCTTTTTCAAAAATAAACGGAATCCACGGGGTGGGTGGCGGGGTGTTTAGGGTGGTTTCAAGTTGAAGGTGGTTTAGGGTGAGAAGAGGTAAAGCCACCCGGGCGTCGAGCTGGAAAATAAGAACCGCACAGGGAAATACACATCCCTTTGCCCCACAGCTCAAAAGGAAATGCGAGGTTGCGGGACAATAGCAGTTGTATACACAAATATCTGTGTATCTGTGTATATTGTCATGTGTGGTCCAGCCCCCCCCCCCGCCCCTGCCCGGGTGGTTTTAGGGTGGGTCAGGGATTGCAAGAACGGACTGCCCGCCCAGTGGTGGTGGTTTGCGGGCTTGCTTGCGTGGAGTTTGGGTGGCGCGCTTGCTTATGAAAGGAAGTGTGCAGACTTGGTGTGACACCGGCTCATCTCCAGCCGTAGACCCTCACTGAAAAGCCAGCCAGCAACCCCACATCCATTGGGGGGGGGGGCTGCTGCAGGCCTGGAGCACAAATAAAATTTAATCAAGCCCTAGCCTCTGACACTGCATCAGGTTTTTGAATTTTTGCATTTTTGCATTTTTGCGGCTGTGCAGGTTTTGGAGCTTTGGGTTCTTAAAATACGCACGGGCTCAAAAATGCAACGCAAATCCAAATCCTTGACTTGATTCTGAAGACTGGACAAATTGCCCAGCGTGTTCACAGAAGCCTCGCCCTGCAAAACTTTCTAGCTACTCAATCCAAAAGAGATACCTGGAATGACCTTGTTTGAGCGTCTCCGCAGCGCAATCTACAAGTGGAACTGTGCATGCAGTATAGGCCCCTGAGATCAAAACGACAAAAAACAGAAATAAATAAAGATACAAACAGACTTGAAAACAGATTTGCAAACTGTATGAAAGGACAAGGCCTTCAGTTGCAAGCTCGTGCTTCGACACTGTGGAAAAACCCACTCTTTTGGGAAGATCTGGGCTTGAAGGGGGGCAGACTCCTTCTGGCCCTGGCGGGCTTGGGCTGGAGTTCGGCTACATGAGCTTGCTAGAAGGCCGGCGGAAGCCCAAAGTAGGCCTCGACTCGGCGAGCGCGCCCCTTCCAGAACATCCATGAATCCGCCATCTTCACTTGCGGCCAAAGGCGAGCCACGAGGGCGACCGTCGCGCTCTTGGGGTGCACTCCCAGCACTGTGCTTCCCAGCCCCAGCCTTAGAAGCTTGACATCCAAGCTGTGCATATAGGGAACAGCTTGCCAAAGAACTCCCCCGTACTAGAAATGAAAAACGGATTGCTCCATGGAAGTGAGGCCTGCACAGTTGCTGACGCAGGCGCGAAACTCCCGTCAGAAGACGCATGGAGTAATCAGCCAAGGTTCACCGCTGTTGGATGGTCTTGCCCACCCACTTGTTAACTTGAGGGCATGTGCAATGTGTACTGCCCTATCTTCCTTGAACCTCAACTTGTGGAGATGAGCAAGGACTTGCAGGTGGACGCCAAAGACCCGCATCGAGCTCTGAAGAGCCAATGCCATGTTGCGCATCGGCGGCTTGAGTGCGGTGATTGCAGCGACAACAACAGCATCAAGACATACCAAGATGGAATGAAATTGGCATCAAAAAACATGCGCAAGACGCACCAGTGTCCAATCTTGAACAGGATGAAAGCCCCAGACATACCAGTGTCATATCAACAACCACACGAGAACAACGCAAGAAGACAAACAACAACAGCTGACAGCCCGTGGCCGGAAGCGCGTTGAGATGAATCCTGTCCTCAGCTTGCGCGCAGGCGTTTCGCATGTGGCCGTGCTGCTAATCATGATCATTTCACATGAAGCAAGAACCTGGTACGCCACACCCCAAGACACCATGAGTGTGCGTAAGGCTCGATGGCCACACAACCGCCTCACAAAAGCAATGTCCGATGTGACACCCATCTCCAAGGCTCATGCGCTCCGGCGCAGCGACCTTCTCGGCCTTGCGCTTGCCATGCCAGGCATCACAAAGGCAAAGCGCAAGGGCGGCGAGGAAGGTCGGAAGTGCCCTGAGCTCGAATCTCACATGATTTGGGTATTAATCTCCAAAGTCATTGTGACATAGAGCCGGCAAAGCTGGTGGGCGGAACTTTGTAGCGAAAAAGGCTATTGTTATGGTCTTCCTTATTCTATTCCATCTTCTTCTGTTTTGTCTTCTTTCTTCCTGGAATCTTGTCTTCTTCCACTTTCTGAAGAATATGCGTGGCATTCCTCCTTTAGATCCCTGTTCCACCATTTCATACATCTCCTGGTCATAAACTAAACTATTTCCCACAACTTAACTTTGAACATAGCATCAGAAGTGCCTGTAAAATCGAAATTAGGTGTCACAATACACAGAATCTAAGCCATGGCGATTTCTATCCCCCCCGGCAAACGCCACGACCATCTTTACTTTGGAAGCTCCTTCTAAACTTCCACAGGGCATGCGAAAGCGCCACGTCCCTTTAGCTGTGTGCCCCGAGGCTTGTCCAAAGTCCGGCCCATTGGCCCAGTTCAAGGTTGATTCCTGCCTGCAGGCTGCGGATCAAAGGGACATCTGCACCTTTCAACTCTATCTACGCCTCTATGTATGGTCCAGTCCCCCAACCCCCCCATACACCCCCACCCCAATCCCCCCTGTGGCATGGTGGGTGGGCTGGTTGGAGTTCTAGGGCTGGTTTCGGGACTGTTTAGGGTTGGTTTACGGGCAGCTTAAGGTTGGCTTGGGAAATCTGGAAGATTGATTGGGATGCGTTTTGGGGAACTGCCTGCCCGCCCTGTAAACCACTCCGCCCTGTGGAGTGGTTTCAGGGCTTGCTTGCGTTTGGTGTGGTCTTAGGCGGTGTGCTTGATTATGAAAGGAAGTTTAGAAGGAACTGCCGTGGTACGGACACTAATTGACACCTATAGCTCTCTGACAAAAGACAAAAGAAGAGTAAGCACGCATCAAAATGTGTGAGCTGGTGGCAGGGAACGGACAGATCCAAAAAGTGCGGAGCGAGCCCGAAGCGACACTGCGGTCCAGGGGGGTGGCTCTGGGGGCGGGGGCTCTGGGGGGCGGAGGGCAGAAGGGCGGAGGACGGGACCATACATACATACATACATGTATATATATATATGTATATGTATATATATATACGTATTTATGTATATATATATATATGTATTTATGTATATATGTATATATGTATATGTGTTTAAGTATCACTCACACAAGCAGTATGTAACCTCCGCACATCATACCTCTCGATTTTTCACAATTCCCAAACCGGAAAAAGACTCCTTTCACCGCGTGAGTTCGCTGGCCTACTGGCCTGCACGTATCCCAGAAACTGCAGAGCTTCTGAAGCCTTCGGAAAATCAGCAGCACAACGGCTCCGAGAAACACTGGAGCTTCTCATGGATACCAGAGCAAACGGTGAATCGGGGTTTCAAAGGAAGCATTAGTGCAAACGAACGGGGTATACACCCTCTAAACATCACCAACCACCCCGAAGGCAACCATATCATACGGGGGCTGGTAGTGAGCCTGTACGTAAAAATGAGTAATTGAGCCCCGACATGCGCAACCCAGACTTATCTGGAAAACCAGACCAGAACAATCTGGCAGTTGGCCATTGTCTGGTTCTCCAAAACCTCCAATTTGAACAAACTTCCTCACTTCTAAATGGCCACATTCCTGCCTTCTGCTTCCAGAGAGAAAATCGCTCACCAACCATGACTCGGTTGCTTTCTGCTCCCCTGCTACAGTTTAACTTTTAGTGGCTTAATGGAAGACCCAGTAGTTGGCAAAAAGCTAAAGTCCTAACATCCCTTGGCAAAATGCGTCTCTCATGAGGAACAGCTACTGGAAAATTTCGGCCCATGCCTTTGGTTCCTTGAGATACTTCTGAACCCGGCCCTCCATCGGGGCCGAACGCGCCTTTTCGATGAGCTCCTGCTTCTCCTGGAGCTATGGTGAGCTTGGAGCGGTGAGCTTGAAGTAGTTTCGAGTGGTTTGGTATCTTTTCATCTGGAGGAATTGTTTGAATTCTCTTAACCGCCAATAGGTCTAAGGGTACCTTCCCTATTCCTTCCAGGGATCCTTCTTTTCAGGAAACCCTCAAAAACCCAAAGGAAACAGCCGGTTATTGAAAGAACGATGTTGAAAAGAATGGGAATCAACCCCTAGAATAGACAAGAACTCCCCATGCAGTAGGTGATCTTCATGGAAATCGTGCGCAGATCATCTCAGTTGCTGCTTCGCTTGTTTGTATGTATGGTTGTTTTTTGTTTTTGTTTTTTTGTTTTCCCTTGTTTTATCGTTTTTACGTGCCAAAATGCCTGTTAAAAATAGAGTGTGGTATGTAGACAAATCAAGGAAATGTCTTCCAAAACAAAGATGTTTCATGTAGTGCAGAGCATGTCTATTATTCCTTGTTTTCCATTGTGTGAATCTAATCTTTTCTGTGATGCCCAGGATTCCATCTATTGCAAATGAACCAACCACATCTGTCCATTGCTCAAAATGGACCCCGGCGTGATACAGGGTGGGATTTCTCTACTACTTTCTCAAGGGGCTTCTGTCACCCCCCCCCAAAAAAAAAAAAACAAGGAAAGGTGCCTTCCCTGGCAAATGAGTGTCCGCGATTTCTCGGGATCCCAATCTGATAATCTCGTTGAACAGAAAGCAATTGCACATGGCAAGCGGAAGCTGATTCTTGGCAAGGGACTGATCATACACAGCCTCCCCTCACGACTCTTTGGTGAGGCAAGTTGCAGGGATCAAGGACGCCAGGTCAATACCCATGATATAAGAGCACCCATGCGAAACCATTCATGGCTCTCAGAGAAATCCCACAAATTCCGAATTCACCCCGTCTTGTCAACCACCAAACTCTCTGCCATCCGAATGGGAATCAAAAGGCGCTCGATTTTATCTTAATCACAACTGGTGGTTTCAATATCTCATTCCGTGCGATCTCGTCCTCCTCCTGACGCTGCATCTTGTCGTCAAAGTCTTGCCTCGGCGGTCAGTAAGCATCTTGGTGGGGGGGTAGGTGGGGGGAGGGGGGGGTGGGGTAGGGGGGGGGGGGGGTAGGTGGAGTAGGTGGAGTAGGTGGGGTAGGTGGGGTAGGTGGGGTAGGTGGGGTAGGTGGGGGGGTAGGTGGTTTTGGGTGTCAACCTCAAGGACAGGGGGCCAATTTTAGGACACGCTGCAGGGACCATGTGAGGGATTGTTTTAAAAGGGCAAACGAAGCCATAAGAGGCCAACCGTCTGGAGGTATGCCAGGCTTTGCCACACATGCCTGTATCATATGCGCTTCTTGGCTACGCTTAAACAACACATATGCAACTTAAACATCTGGACCGCATGT